TGGTACAGCCAAGTATTCAAGTTTTCTCTTTTTTATATTCATAATAACTTCTGGATCGTTATTCTGCTTATTACCTCTTCATTTTTAATTTTATCCACCCAACTTATTTTTAGTATACGGCGGTAGCACCACATCTCAAAGCTTTCAAGATTTTTAATATTCCTCTATTTAAGAGTTCATGCCTCAACACCGTAAAGCAAAGTACTTAGAGATACTTAGATACAAATCAGGAAGTATATGCCCGTTTCATTGATTTTGAGAAGGCATTTGACAGAGTGCAGCATAATCGGCTTAAAGAAATTTATTAAATAAAAACATGGACAGTAGAAACATTACAATCATATGTAACATCTATTGGAACCAAACAGCAAAAGTGAAAGTTGAAAATGAACCGACCGAGGATATCCAGCTTTGCCGTGGGGTCCGCCAAGGGTGCATTTTATCACCCTTGTTATTCAATTTATACAGTGAAGCAATCTCAGAATTAGCGCTTGCCGAGGTCAGTGAGGGCCTTATAATAAACGGTGAGCCACTTAATAACATAAGATATGCTGACGACACCGTCCTTCTGGCAGGAACACTAGAAGAACTGCAACGCCTTGCTGAACAACTAAATATATATTGCAACGAGTATGGACTAAAAATAAATTTGAAGAAAACCAAGTTCATGGTAATTACAAAAGCACAAAACATTAAAGTTAAGCTAGTACTAGATAATACAGAAATTGAACAAATATCTTCGTACAAATACCTTGGAGCATGGATCACAGAAGATACTGATCAGACAAAAGAAATAAAACGCCGCATTGAAATTGCACGGTAAACTTTTAATAGAATGAGACAACTTTTTTGTAATCGCGATATCAATATATCGCTCCGGATAGGAATGCTTCGATGTTATATTTTCTCTCCCCTTTTGTATGGGGTTGAAGCTTGGACACTTAAAAAATCTAACATTAAAAACCTAGAAGCATTCGAAATGTGGTGTTACCGACGTATTTTGAAAATATCATGTCAAAATATTATAACAACTAGGAAAACAATGCGAAGTTTTAAATTCCATAAAAATCAGGAAATTGGAATTTTTGGGGTACATTATGAGAGGTGAAAAATACGAACTACTAAGGAATATAATGCAGGGTACAATCAAAGGCAGAAGAAGCGTAGGAAGACGTAAAATCTCGTAACCAACGAAATTATAATTGCCAGAATGATTTCCAATCTCCGATAGGAGCGGAACTTAAAGAAGAAGAAAGGTATATTTACAGTACAAGGACGGTAAACACATTTACTTATGTTTTTATGTCCCTACATTTGATATGTATCAATGTGAATAGTAGAAAGCTCATCTAGATAATAGAAAACCGGTAATATATCTTCATCAATCAGCCAATCACGTCCACTGGACATAGGCCTCCCTCAGTTCTTTCCAGTGTTGTCTACACTGGGCCACTTGTAGCTAGTTTCCCGCTACACGTTTTATGTCATCGGTCTATCTAGTCGGTGGTCGTCCTCGGCTTCTTTTATAATTTCTGGACTTCCATTCCATAATACGTCTTGCCCACCGTCCATCTTGTGTTCTGGATAAGTGCCCTGCCCAGTTCCACTTAAGCGTCGTGGTTCTTTCGATGACGTCTTGAACTCCTGATCTTAACAAACCAAACCAATAAATCAGGCAAAGCTCAGGAGTACTATATCTTAGTATGCTTAAAAAAGGCGAGATGAGTAAGCTCCAAAATTTCGTCAAAATAGTCCTTAACTTCGTTCCTATTGATCATTGGTTTTTTTAATGTGATTTTTTTACCAGCTATCCAATGATTGTGCGTACAAGTCTGTAGCTTGAAAAATATAGAAGTTATTGTTATTACAATTGTTTATAAGTAAAAAACATATCCCTTTTTCAAACGTTTATTTTGTAAATAATTTCGATGAAAACGCAGTATGCATTTAATTTCGGAGATAGTTTAAGTCTTAAAGAATCCTATGAACTTTGCTAAATGTGTCTAGCATAATTAATGGAGGAAGTTCAATAGTTTAAATATTTAGCCTCAGGGACAAATATATTAAATAACTTTTATAATATTTGACCGATCGGTGGAAAAATTTCGCACAAATTTAAAAGACGGTAATTCCTTGATGTTCAAAAGTACTAATAACATTTTATTTTGTTAATAAAAGAATTAATAAAATTTATAAATTAGTGCAAAAAAAAAACTGCTTTTTTGCAAATATCTCCGTAAATTATTTATCAATGTTAATTTAAAAACGGGAAAATAAAGATATTCTTGATATAAAAAATGATATAAATATTGTTTATGTAAAATATATGGAAAAAGCTTATAGACAAAAAATTAAATTGTGACCATAAATTATTGTTAAGAAAAACGCAAGGTAAAAATACGAGTACTTTTTCATCTCTTCGTCATCTAGTACCCACCACCTATGTCTTAAAAGCTTTAGATTTGTGCGAAAAATTTTTCGACCTTTTTTTAACCAGACTGGGCTGTAGTAATTACAGCCTTAGTGTAATTTGTATAGAGAATAATATTTGTTTTTCATCCCTTCTGATGACGTGCCAAGAGTAAAAAATGTTATTAAAAGAAATTTTTTATGAGAATAAGGAATAATAATAATTTATTGACAATGGCTTTTAATAACTACAGTCGTCAATGACGAACATACTACTGAACCTCTAAAAATCATACGAACAAGCTGAATTTTGCCGAGAATATTAATTTTGGGACCCCAAAAAAGATGAAAAATGTTTATCACTTTTGCCCCGGGCTTCCTTCTAAAACCCCTCGTACCTTTAAAATGCATCTTGATTTTTGTCAACAGGACACTTGAATCAAAAGATATCGAATTTTTACCGTCGAGCTGATACAAATTTTATTGAACATTGATTTTGCGCGCGTAACTGATATTCAAAATCGACGGTCGCTTCAAGCGTTGTTTTTGAGAGAACGGTTCATTCTACACAAAAAGTGCTACTAATTAACATTTTTGTTTAAAATTATCTCAATTTAAGGGGATTTAGAAGTGGTTTGCCACAATCCCCAGACAATGGCTGCAATCAACCTTTGTAGCAATTCCCAAAAAACCAAGTTCAACAACTTGCTCAGACCACAGAACAATAGCTTTAATGAGTCACACACTTAAAACATTTTTGAAAATAATTCACAGCAGAATTGTTAAAATTCTTGAATATGAGATTAGTGACACACAATTTGGCTTTAGAAATGGTATGAGTACAAGAGATGCTTTGTTCGGCTTGAATGTGCTGGCTCAGAGATACATGGACATGAATCAGGATATGTACTTATGTTTTGTAGACTTTGAAAAGGCATTTGATAAAGTTCAACATAAAAAGCTTGTAGATATATTAAAAAGTAAAAATATTGACAGTCGTGATCTGAAAATTATATCTAATTTATATTGTAATCAAACTGCCAAGGTAAGAGTTGACAGCCAGTACACCGAAAATATCAAAATACAGAGAGGAGTCCGCCAGGGTTGCGTGCTGTCCCCACTACTTTTCAATGTCTACAGTGAAGCGATATTTCAAGAAGCGCTCTCAGACTCAATAGAAGGTATATCTATCAATGGAGAAGTTTTGAATAACTTACGTTTTGCAGACGATACAGTAATAATTACGGATAACAACAATGATTTACAGAACCTAATGCAACGCATTAATGAACGCTGTCATGAGTACGGACTGAAGATAAACTTAAAGAAAACTAAATGCATGATCATGACTAAATCTGCACATGCAAATATCCAATTGACTATTGAAGATACTGCAATTGAGAATGTTAATAACTATAAATATTTAGGAACATGGATAACATCAGATGTAGACCAAACCAAAGAAATTAAGACATGTATTGAAATAGCACGTACATCATTTATTAAACTTAAAAAGTTTCTTTGTTGTCGGGATATAAGGTTAGAACTACGCCTGAGAATGCTTCGATGTTACGTGTTCTCTACTCTTCTTTATGGTCTGGAAGCTTGGACACTAAAACAAGTTCATCTGAACAAGCTGGCCGCCTTTGAATTTTGGTGTTACAGAAGAATCCTACGAATATCATGGATTCAAAGAATGTCAAACATGGAAGTAACTAGAAGGATAGGAAATGAGGCGGAAATACTATTAACTATTAAAAGACGAAAACTTGAGTACTTGGGACATGTGATGAGAGGGCAAAAATACGCATTATTACAACTTATTATGCAGGGCAAAATCCGAGGAAAGCAAAATGTGGGAAGACGAAGAATATCCTGGCTTAAGAACTTAAGGGAATGGTTTGAATGCAGTAGTGCAGAACTTTTTAGAGCGGCAGTCAACAGAGTCCGCATAGCCATGATGATTTCCAACCTTCGATAGAAGATGGAACTTAAAGAAGAAGAAGAAGTGGTTTGTAGGAGAAGCCCAGGGGTAAAAGTTGTAATATTTTTGCATCTTTTTTGAGGTCCCAAAATTAATATTCCCGGCAAAATTCAGCTTGTTCATATGATTAAGGGTCAACTCTTTGACGACTGGACTAAACACCAATAATAAAAAAATATATTTGTCTTCCTTGTACGTGTTACTTGAGTAAATTACAATTAATAACCCGTGTAATTAATCCCATTAAAACTTAATACCATACAATAGAATATATTTCCATGTAAAATTAACATTTTACAATAATTAATAACCCGTGCAATTAATCCTATACCTGAATCATCTCACTATTTAATTCAACAAAAGACGCAAAAAATTCTAATCACATCTGATCTATCTCTGTAATTAAATCAACACCAGTGAACCATACCCTATAATATTGACGTAAGAATTTAGTAACTTCTCTCTAAAATCGTATTTATTTGTGCATGATTTTAGAGGTATTTTTAAAAAAACATGCAACTCGTGCAAAGCCTAATATAAATCTGACACAATAGATAAGATCCGAAGATATTTAACACAATGTGTGGCAATTTTATTTGGAGATAGATCGGTGAAGTGTTAGTGAAAGTTTAACAGCCAGTGATTCACAATGGCGAAAGGAATGGTACCTGAAGATAAGACTTTTGAAGAAGCTGTCACATTGACAGGTAAGGGAGTTTTATTAAGTTTTTTCATATGGCATAAAGTGGTTATTGTATTTCACGTGTATTTTCCCAATTTCTTTATTTTTTAATTTTGCTATTTTTTTATTTCACACTTCTTTGTCTATTCTATATCTTAATTTTGTTTTTACGTAGTGCTTTACATTCTAATACTCTTATCATTAGGCTATTCATTATGTAACTTAGAAACGAACTACAAGAGATTTTATTGTTTCATATGGTAAATATGAAAAAAAAAAACGAGGACTGATACCATCGAGGGGTGCGTTTTTGAGAAAGGGGTGAATTAGTCCCTAATAAGGGGAATTTGGGTGACTTCTATGCACTTTTATTACATATACATCTACAGACAATTGTTCAAAATTAAATTTTCTGTCGGATTGTCTCACTTTAAAGTCAAAAATATTTTTTGACAAAACTGTATTCAAAAAAACGAAGCAAAAAAACAAAAACACATGCGATTGTTCCGTTTTGCTCCATAATTTTTTTCCCCGGGGGTATACGTATAGGCATTGCTTTACAGAAAAAGAAATTTCTATTGTTCTTCTTTACACTGACGTTCAGTAGAAGTCTTTAAGAGTCAACATATGCGAGATACGATTTTTCAAAATTTGTCACTTACAGCATTTTTACGCAGTTTTTTGTTAATGCAATGTTATGTTAAAAAGAAAAAATACTTACCTTTAAAATAATATACAGTATAAGGCACTAGAACTAATTTTAAACAAGATACAGTTCTTCAAAATTTTACTAATCGTTTTCCAGTTGTTCAATATAATGTGTTGGGATTTTTGTATTCTATGAATAAAAGTCTAAATTCGAACAGCTATAAATTTGTTATTATTAAGGTATTATTATTATTAAGTTATTTTATGTCAAAAAAATGTTCCTGGTAAAGTCTAAATTTTTGGAGTTTGACGTGTAATTTATAAACTTTCAGTTACGAATAACTCCAAAAATATCGACTTTTCGAAAAAAAAGTCTAAAAAATATTTTTGTCTTAAAATTCATTTTTTTTTATTAATTTGCGAATTGACAATCTGTTATTAGAAGCTATTATAATTTGAAACTAAAATTAAAATAAACATTAAAACTGAAATTAGTGAATAAAGTCTGTTAGCCACTGTCTCTTCAATTTTCGTCTGACTTTTGGTTGGCGGTGTAGTTGTCTTGCTTCCTCGTTAGGGTGGGCTGGCAGATATTCTAAATAAGTTCTTGTTAGTCTGATGATTTTGTCTTCAACGAACGGTATACCAGAGTCATCATGCAGTGTTTTGTTACTAACGTACCACGGCGCGTTGAAAATCATTCTGAGTATTTTGGATTGGATTCTCTGAATGATTTTGGTATTAGGCTTTGCACAGCCCCATAGTTGCACTCCATATGTCCATATAGGCTTTATTATGTACTTATACAAGAGACGTTTATTATCTAAAGATAACTGTGATTTTCGGCCTATTAGCCAATTCATTTGACGTATTTTCATGTTGATTTGGATTTTTTTTACCAAGATGAGTACCTTTCCAAGTGAGATTTTGATCAAGTGTCATTCCCAGCTATTTGACTTCTGTTTTTACTGGTAGTAAAATATGTTGTTCAGTCTGATTCTCGGACATATGATGTTTCTGTTAGTGAATGTAATTTGATTAGACTTAGTATGGTTGACTTTGATTTTACAACTATTCATTTAGTCTTGTAGTAGGTTCAGGTGTATTTAAAGGTGTCTTGATGCTACTTGGGGTCATCATCGATGGATATTATGGCGGTGTCATCTGCGGACATGGCTACTATGGTAGTATTTGTTGTTAAGATATCAGCAGTGTATATAAGGTACAGGAGAGGACCCATGACAATTTCTTGAGGGTCACCGGATTTTATGGGATAGTAACGAGAGGTTTCTGTAAGGAATCTGACTAGAAAGTGACGTTCTGTGAGGTATGATTTTAAGAGTAGATAGTGAGCAGTGGGAAAGGATGACTTAAGTACAGGAGGCCGTCATACCAAACATGCTCGAAGGCTTGTTCTATATCCAGTAAGGCAGCAGTGCAAATTTTTTTTCTCTTCGAAGCATACATTAATGTTTTTAACAATCTTATGACATTGTCATACTGTTGTCACAGTGTTGGGATCACTGAATTAATTTCGATGTCTTTTGAGATTCTTAGAGCAGAAGTCTAAGTTTTTTGACATTATTGGAAGTAAGCTGATTGGTCTATATGAAGTAGTAATATTTGGTGGTTTATTTGGTTTACTTATCATAATTATTTGTGTGAACTTCCATCCAGGAATTCAGGTGGTAACCACCCCAAGAGGAAAAGCACATATTGGCATAGGGTATATTTTGATGTTTGTACTATTTTCTACCCACTGTCAAAATTTCAAGCAAATGCGTGCGTATAAAAAGAATTCTGAGCAGAAAACCTTCATATCCTGGACTATTCTCTGGACCACTATGCACTTCCAGTAGGGATTTATGGATTGAATAACACCAAGTCGCAAACCCCATCTCCTGTCGTCCTGCTCATCCATATCACCTTGTGCTATAATGTTTTAGTCGCAGATCCATTTGGATTCTAAACTACTACTTTAAACTTTTCGTTTTCTGGCAAGGGATCGAACTATCACTCTACTAGACTTCTCACAGTATAGTAAAAGCGTTTTATTTGCGTAGCCCGCTTGGCTATCAGACCAAGCATATAATTGCTTAATGAAACTTATCTTTCTTCTTCCTCTTCCTCCTCTTTATAAGCAATTCTGCTTCTTCATTGGAGGATTAATACCTCTATAGAAGGTTGTTAGTCCTCCTTTTGAGTGGTCGTCCGATACTTTTTCTGCCGATTGACTTTTCTTAACTGTCACTTCTTTGTCCAAGTCTCCATAGCTGGACAGTGTAATTCCAAGGTATTTTATTTCCATTACTTGTTCAATACTGAAGCCATCAATTTCTATTTTACATCTGGTTGCTTCTTTTCTGCAAAGAAATTTATCTGTGAAAGTAAAATTAGCCTCTAAACTTCTACCCAAATTGAAATTTTCTAGTCTGTGTTATCCCAATTATTTTACTCCCTAACCATGACCTAATCTACTTAGTTTGTTTAAGGGTAATATCTTATGGGTCATTAGAGAAGAAGCAACTGAACGCGTATGTATCCTACCTGCTCTTCTATTAATCTTTTGTTTATTTTAATTACAGTAATGCTCTTTTTTTTTCCTTAATAAAATGATTGAGACAGGCCGAGTGACTAATGCCTATGCAAAAAAATGATGTAGCGGGGATATGCTTGAAAAGAATTCTTAATTTCATAAAACAGATTGGTTTGATGCTGAATGATAACAGTTTATAAACGAAAGAAATTGAGCGAGACTGAAAATATAAGACTAACAAGTAAAACAACAGCTATGTTTAACAAGGCATGGAATAACCTAAAGAAAAATGCAGAGAAAACACAGAGAATACGAGAAATTGTTTTAAGAAGACTTAAAAGAATCTGTATAAGATGAAAATGAATATAAAAGTTTGAAAAAAACTATACAAAAGAATAAAGATTAAGAATAGTTAAGAACAATTTCCAATCACAAGTCGAAATGATTAGGTATAAGAAAATCAGTCCATCTGGGCCCTGATTCTATTTCATTTCGATGTCGAAATTTAAAAGCGACTACGCCATGACAGTCGCAATCGCTAGCGATTCTCATTCATTTCGATTTTAGTTAAAAGTGGGGACATTTACTTTATCATTTTGACACTGCTCAGAATTTGGGTTGGCCGTCTTGTTTATTGGCTGCACGCTTGTTAAATGTTTGTTTTGTTAACATTTTACGATTTTTGTTTCTTGTTTGAGTTGTTAAATTTTTAGTGGCCATTCTCAATGATTATATTTTGAATTTAAAGAAAATGGATGGATGCTGTTGGTGATGGTGGCACTAAATTGTCTGTGGACCAAAAAGAAATTACGATGGCTTTTGACTTAGTGGTTATATTATATTTTTAAATTTACTGCAGCTTAGTATTGGTATTACTAAAAACAATACATTACCGCTCTAAAAATTCTTGATGAGTTTAAAGATTATTTTATATCTCCAAATAAGAGTATAGAATTAAAATAAATTATTACAACCAAATTATTTATTATTTCTATCTTCCATTACAGCCTGTTGAATATATTCAAAAATTGTGGTTTCCAATTTAGTTTTAATATTGGGACATTTTATTTCTTTAATTTTTACACCACAATATATTTTAAAAAATAATCAGTAGCATCTGGCTTGGGGCCCCCAGGTACCGCAGTTCTATTTTTATAGGTGTTAAAATTTCGACCAATTATGTGCCGAATCACATACAATTTATGATAAAACGCAGCCATATTAATACTTTTTGACTCAGTTTTCGTTTCAACAATCAAACAAAACAACACCGCCTAAACTGAACCTAACCTCGCTTCTCCCAGTCCCGCTAGTAATGTCAGATTAATTTCGACTCGAAATTAAATTTCAACCACTTTCTTGAAGTTGAAATTAATTTCGATAAATCGAAATTTAGTGACGTCCTTTGGTTAGTTCAGCTGAAATCCACTAGGCTCGCAAAGTCGCATTTCGACGTCGCCATATTGATTTCAACATGTTTTCAGTCGAAATCTCAATTAGAATCAGGGCCCTGATCAGTAAAAAGAAAAATGCATGGCAAATATGGTCACAATATTTTGAATAATTCTTTAATATGAACGATATGAAAATAGATGGTCATTAGAAATCAGAAGATATTTATACAAAACAATTTACTATATTTACCGAAAATGAGCCAGAATTTTACTTGTGTATATGTATTTATTTGTTTATTTACGTATTTTGAGAACGATTTCCGAAGTGGAAATCGAAACGTCAAAAAACTTATTTTAAGGTAGAATTGTGGCTTATTTCTAGTAAAAATAGTAATCTGTATTAAGATAGCACATTCTGTCACAAGAAAATAGCTTAAGAATAATATT